ACTTCAAGGAGGGGAACTTCACTCACGCCAATGGGCTTTATGAAGTTCCAGCTGAATGCTTTGCAGTCCTAGTTATTATTTTCTAAGTGATATTGAGTTCAATAAGTACAGCTCAACATTCACTTTCTATAAACAGGCACTTGGTCAATTCCAATGGCTCGCTTAGCTTTGTTCCATGAGTAGAATATCAGTTGGCATGTAACTAAAACTGTGAATGTTTAATGGACTTTACACTTTCTCCCTAAATAGCTTTCCCATGTGAGACAATGAGTATCATGTGAGCTTCCTTCATCTTTCTGTATTGTAAGTACCCACCATCTCAGTGAGAGAACCTCTGTTTGAGAAGCTAAATTAGCAAAAGAAACTACTGGAAACTATGGATAAAATCCAGCCCAATTGGCATGGCATTATTCAACTAATGCATACACTATATTTTACATCTCTGGGAATTTTCAGGCTTTGTTCCAAACTAACCGGGCATTTTAAATTTCTTATAATGCACGTGAAACAACCAAATGGCCAAACAGAAAGTAATAGGACAGTACTGCATTATTTTAACAGCTACATCTCTGTAAAACATGATCAATTCTAGAATAATCATACAGAGAAGACCAATTATTTTTAAAGTGGCTTATTTTTTGATATAGGCATGAAGAATCAAAAGTTTAGCTGTGGACGAATAGGAACAATAACAGTGATAGGGAATACAATAGTGGTCAAAATTGTGGAAACCTTTTGGGAAAAGTATACAGTTGAAATGCCACCTTGGTTAAGTTTCCACCAATTTTTCTTCTAATTTCTTTATAACTGTAGCCTTGTTCACTTAATAATACTATTTTACATCACTTTCTGGGCAACCAGTCAACTCTCTGCACCATTACTTTAATTTTATTACGTTTTACAAGCTCACTAAATGAAAGAACACAAAAAAACCCAACCAACTTGATAGCAATCACATAACACACTGAGAAATGTCCTCCTCTCAGCTTCAATACATGACATCAATAACTGAATCATACTGTGATCTGATTGCCTCATTGCCAAAACAAGATGACACCTGATTGGCTCTCTAAACACTCGTGCTCATTGGCTACAATCAGATGAAGGAAAGCTACCTGATATCAATCTAAGCAAGTTGTGCTTCCTTTTTCTGATTATTTGGCTATAACTTTTCATAGAATACAGTACAGATAATTGAACAAACTTTGTTGCATTACATTCTTGATTAAATTATCTTTCCATTGATATATAATTTTATGGTACTTCTCCAAAAAAAGTGGTGTTATTAGCCATCAAACCTCAAAAATACTTTTCCCAAAAAGTTTCCACAATTTTTGGCCACTACTGTACACTGCACATCCTGATACTTTATGACCAGCAAAACTAAAAGTTGTTTTGATTACATATTCCTTGGTGCTATTCATGTTTAATGAAAAATTAGCACATCATTTTATCTCTCTTTAAAAAAATCACATAATTCCACAGTTTCAGTTGTTGAAGAACTATGAAAACAGATTTTTAAATGAATAAAATGTATTTAACCCAACTAACCATTTTCTAAAAATATTACATGCATTTTAAAAAGATAATTAAGATTTTAAAATTCAAATAAGGATTAATAAAACTTCACTATGATACATGATCAGTGAAACAAATAGGTATTATAATAATTTCTCTGCATGAACTAAAAAAACTAAATAGTCAGGACACTTTTTACATGCTGATTTTTGACTGTAAAATCAAGACTTCTGGGCCAAGTGTAAGACAAAGATTTCTCAGAATGAAGTCATTTTACAAGCTTTGATAGGAAATGGCTTTTTCTAAAAAAAATTTTTTTTTAAATAGCACAAAGGATACTTTTTATTGAGAGGTCCCATGATAACCAACAGTTTCTTAGAGGAATTGTAATATCCTTTTAAGTGGTTTCAGTGAAAGCTAAGATCTTTCTGTGACTTCTCTTTTGCTGTTAGTAAACCTCATGCTATTTCTGGTAACTCCTTCTAATTAACATTGGTCAATTAATAATAAAATCTCTATGAATTTCTAATATTAGCAACACCTTGTCTGAAACAAGATATTAATATTCCCAGAAAAGTTAAACTTTGCCCTAAACTAAGGTTTTATCGAATAAAGAAATTTATCCCAAGTTCTGTAAAAAAAAGCTATGAAGACCCTTACTATAATACAGTTCAACCAGTCAGCTGATTTTTTTTCTTGTGTTGAACAATGAAAGGCTTATATTTAGCTTTAAGGGCACAGATATTATTCTAGATTACAATTTCCTGATAGATAAATGAATATTTTTGTTTCTTGTTGCTAAAAGGATAGAATAATATACTCTCTGCTGTCAAAGCTTTGAAAAGAGTCTTGATACCTTTAATAATTTTACTTTTGGAGTTTATATGCTGTTTAAATAGACTTGCATTCATCATCATAGTAGCCTAAACACTTGCAACAGAGGGCAGATTCCTGTAATTTACCTCTAGCTTTTTATAGTCATATGCAGTGTTCCTTTTTCGTTGTACAAACAAGGTTGAAAGAAACAGTACATTCTCCTAGAGAGAAAAATACCAGGCTCATTAGAATCCCATGAGCTACTGTTATCATGAAGTAATAGACCATGTTACTATAGATGGTTAAGTATCGTAAACTGAAATCAGAGAATGCTTTGTGCTAAGGCTAAATAGAGAATCAGATAAACCTCGCTGGAGGAGATAGAATTGCGGTCCTATTGACGATCTCTAGTTTGGAAAGAGCATCAGGCAATCTTTGTATACAATTTTGTCAGCTACTGTGTTTTTCTGCCAGCTGATGAAAGAAAAAAGAAATAAAACCAAATAATTTGTTACAGGTAAAGATAAATGGCCACTTTGCTGTGATGGTATTAAACTCAAAGACATTAAAACAAAGCATTAAAAATATAATTCCACAGATATGTTTATTGATGTGTATATCAAGTCAAGTTAATGACTAGGCTTTTTACAACTGAATTTAGACAAATGACAACAGAAGCAGTTATGTGTTTAGGCAAAGATTAAAAAAAACACTTGTTTTAAAACAGAGCAATAAAATAAGATGAGATATCAAGATCATTAGAATATAAACTGACTGAAACAAAAGTAAATTCGCAAAAGATATAGAATAACCAAATCCATCTTCATTCATCTTGCTTTTTGAATATCACCCTTGGTTAGTAGGATATGAAGACCAAAGTGCAACCATCTTTAATTTTTACCTTAGCTCTTGTATCAGAGGGACATTAGTCTATTTACAAAGAATGGTGTACTAATTAATTACAATATGCAAAAGCTTGCTCTTCATCTAAGCTTTCATAAATAAGGTGAATTTCAATTCTGTCTTATAAAACAAGTGGCCTGTAATTTATGAAAAGTGTTCATAACCTACCCACTCACTATCCTTCTCTCTTTCTGTGTCCTATTTACATTTTTAATAACAGCGGTTAGTTCAATCTTATTCAATCTGGCACTCTCCAGAGACTGAAATTACAATTCTTCAAGTTCTAAGTCAAGAGAAGGCTATGTATTTACAGAATGCAGGGCAAAATAACTTCTCAAATGTTGGACATTTGCCACTAAAATCAAAGTCACCTTATTCTGCAAATTGTAATTTGTCCTGTGAAATGCTGATTGGTAATCATATTTCTCCTATAATACATAAATATGATATTTATATATATGAATGAATCATATTTATTAATGAATGAAAAAATATATCTAAGGCTAAGGAATAGAGAATAAACCTCATATCTATGGGCTACATACAGATTTAGAACAGACTGATAAAAAACAATACAATCTAAATTAAATATGATTAATTTAAATTTGTTTGATTATAATAGATTATTTTGGCTAACAATGATCCAGTTTCTTTATTCCATGCTTCTCAAATGAAAATGCTGGAATATTTACAACATCGGAATGAATACTATTGAAGATTTAATATCAACTCTCTTTAACTTGTGATATCATCGCATGACACAACTTACACAAAATTCAATATAATCCTCCTTTCTTTACTAAATACTTGGGAACTCTAAATTGGTTCCAATATGGAAATACTATAGTTTAATATGCAAAATTATCATAGTTCAGCTTTCACTGATCCATAGTACACATAAAAAGCATTCATGTGAATCTCATGGCCATTCTGAAAACATATTATGAGGGCTACTTGACTACAAGAGGGCTTCAAGTTGTAAATGTTAAAGTATTCAAATTATGCCTTTCTTTGTTTCAATGCTTCAGTTTTGTTTACAGGTATCGTAATTTTTAATTTCTTAAGGTAAAGAGTTTCCAAAAGGTAGTAGGAGCCAATGTCCTTCTGGATTCCCAAGGTATAAATGGCAGGTGCAGCAAAGTGATCCAAGCCCCATCCTATCTGTGTAAATTGTCAGTGTCACACAAAAGTGGGAGGCGTGAATCATCACGCTAAGCTCACCATCTTGCAAATTTTGACCTTTCCCCTACTCTCATAAAGATCCTTGACACAGCCTTCTCAGAACACTTACAGTTTATTTAAATTCTTTGCCCATTTGGGAATCTATCAAAGTATTCCTTTAAACCAATGGTTCTCAACCTGTGGGTCAGAACCCCATTTGGGGTCGAACGACCATTTCACAGGGGTCGCCAAACAACGCAGTCCGCCATTTTTTCCCCTTTTCCTTAGCTGTGCTACTCCCTTTTATTCTATTGGCTTTTGAAAGCCAATAGAATAGACTCTCTTGAATAGAGTCTAATTCTATTGGCTTTCAAAAGCCAATAGGAATTGTCCAGGCTGTCTCTGCCCTGCTGAGCCCACCAAAAGTCCCATTCTGCAAACGGTGCTGCACCAGTTGAGTAGTCCTCGACTTATGACCGGTTGAGTAGTCCTTGACTTACGACCGGTTGGGGGGGTCACGGCATTAAAAAGGTTGAGAACCACTGCTTTAAACCTTTGTATTAAAGAATACATTACATTATCAATTGTCTTTCCTTTTTCTCTCTTCTTCCTAATGTTATCAAAAGAGGAGCTGAGATATACAGGACGAAGAGTTAGTTAATACACTTACACACACACACATGCACACACATGTATAGAAGCAAACAAGCATGGAAATTCAACATAATTCAGTATGTATTTTATATACATATGATAAAAGCAGCTGATGGCAAAACCATAAAAGAAAATAAAAATCTCAGTACTTACTATGCCTAAGAAAGCTAGAATTAAAATCCCCTACCCTTTTCTGTATGTTACAGCAATAAAATAAGTGCTATGTGCACACAATGTAAATGATAAGTTATAGACTTATTTTATGTAATCAAGAGCTTGACTCAATCCTATCTATGTGTACTACTTAGACTCCTTTTAATATCTGCTGTTTTTCAAAATAATGCACATATTCTTCTTGAACACTTACAGAACTTTTCATCATTGATGGATGAAGTTTATTTAACTTTTTTATGAAGGCAAAAGACAAATTGTATTCCCCATGGGAATTAAAGGAACTATGTGGACACATAACTGTTTCAAATTCTCTAAAAAACATTAATGCTCCCTTTTGTGCCAATAGTTGTTAGCTTTATTTTGGAAAATCTAAATATCTAACAGTTCTTTCAGCAGAATACAATTATAAGAGTTCTGCCTTCAAAAGGGATTGGAAACCCTACTAGCAGAATTGGACATGCAAAGATGTCTAAAGCCAGAGGAAAGATAATGAAGACTTTTCTTTTCAGTTCACTGACAAATGTTTCTTTGATAAAGAGCTTGATTCTACCTGAACTGATCAATTAAACAAAATGTTTGTCCCTACCTGAAAAGCAGCTACAAACCCAATTCTAGATTTGTTAAGTACCACAGTTCTTGCATCACCCTCTTTACTTTCTTGCAGTATCCAAGAAGCTGCATATCACTTACAGTATTTAAATAATAATGCAAAATTTACCACAAAATATTGGATTAAGGCAAAATATTACTTGATTATAAAAACCAATCAGCAACATCCACTTTTTTTTAGATTTACTCTCATTAATAACAAACATTTAGCTTCAATATTTTATTATATACTTTAATTTAGTTATTTCCAACCTGATGCCTTCCAAATTAATTCTGAATTGAAAATTTCAGTTTCATAACTGAAACACAACCAAAAGCTCTGAGGCCAAAGCTAATTAGTTATGCTCCTTTCTGTTTCATGTGAAGTCATAAACCTTATTCCTTCCCATGTCATTGCTTCTACAAATTTAAAGTTTGTATAAATACATCTTGAAGGCCAATACCCAACCATCTTCTTTTCTTCTTCTCTATTTGAGTAATTTTTAATTTTTCAGATGTTCACTGAGTGAGCATGTTTCTTACATAGAGGCTTGTCCTTCTTGGAGAAGAAAGTCTGGCCCTCCAAACTTTCACAGCATACCTGAAATAGCATAAAATTAAAACCAAGTGTTCTAAAATTTTATATACATACATAAAATACAGATCCATTCAGTACTCAATGTCTTATTGAACTAACTAAATTTCTTTGCTTTTGTCATGGTGAATTATTATATAAAAGTGGGATCTACAAGAAAGTGGTGCAAAATGTCCTGGTTCAGATGATCATATTGACTTCCACATTCTGTAATCCATTTACCCTCTTTTTTGAGTTTCCTTGCTTTTTTTCTGCATGAGAATCAACTAGCATTCCACTCACAATTTTTCATTTTCTATGGGCTATTGAGAATTCCGCTCCAGCTTTAAGAAATTCTTCTTAAATATATTGTTGACTTCTGCATAGTTTTCCCCAACTCTATTTTCCTGATGGTTGTTATTAAACATTTCTAAACTGTGTTTTACAATTACAATCATGTAAAACAAAAATCTATCAAAAAATTTACTATAAAAACCAAATACTAAGAGTACAATTTTAACACTAGGTTTTACACTTATTTTTTTAGTCTTTGAAAATCAACACTAGCACCATGAATAGGCTTGGAAATAAGATAATAATTGTTTCTAATGTGAACCCAATGTGGGAATGACCAAATACTAAATACTAAGCTTTCATAAGCAGCTGAAATTTTAAACCCCCTTGTAATAGCATCCCAACATCTAATGCATGTAGCCTAGACAGGATCAAAGCATGAGTAACTGACTAGCAATAACCATAATGCCTGATGAACTAAATGATGGAATTCTATGTTAAATAACTATTGCTTGCACATTTGAACTTCTTCATACTCTTGTTAATGAGAAGTTACATTCATGGTCTGCTTGTGGGCTTTTCATTATAATCTGTGGAGAATAGAATGCTGGACTTGATGCTGGACGTTTTGCTCTGCCAGTTTGGCTTGTTCTTATCTTTTCACTCCTCTCCACCTTCTGCACATTCCTCCATACATGACTCATAATATGGTTTTTATACTTACTGAGCACACAAAACAGGTATCATGCCAAGTATGGCCCAAGGCTTCCAGAAACCTGTCCCCAGCTTCAATAGGGAATTCACATCCATGGCACATGGAACCAAATAATGCATAATAATCTGTAGAATACAATAACATGGACATCTAAAGAATACCAGCAATTTCAGCAAAATCCACAAGAGAATAAATGCCTACAACAGTGGACAAAATTCTTGAAGACTTTCTCTCTTTGTAGTTTAACAACTGTTGCTTGGAAAATGATTAAATATTTTGCTATCTGGCAATCTGATTAAGGGTACAAAATTAGTTATCACTACCAAATGGCAGCAAAAATCATACAGAGAATTCTTTATTGCTCTCCAACTTCTGTCCTGATTTTTGCAGCTCAGAAATTGGAGGTTCACATTGAAAGTTGATGAATTGGTATGATGCATAAAAAAAAAAAATCAAAACTAAGTAGCAACATGGGAATTATTAGAGCCACTGTAATTTTCCGAATAAACATTTTGTATCAAATAATTTGATTCTGTTAGAAAGACCAAGATAACATTCCATTTATATGGTAATGGATATAATAAAATAATCACATGCAAAGCAGAATTTATCTAGAAATTTTAACAAATTATGTGACTATTTTTATACAATTCTTTTCATATTCTGTACATACCATACACATGTACTTCAATAATCTATTTATTGCAGAGGTGAAATTATGCACAATTTATTTAAGATAGGTGGTGATTTATATAAACAATCAAGTACACCCATTTCTCCAGCTACCAACTCAATGCTTGAAGTTAAATGAGAACTACTTTGTCAACTCAAGAACCTTGCCAAATTTGTGTGCTATCTTTGATATGACACATTATTCAAATATATTTATTTTAAATCTGACAAGTTCTTTCATCTCTATTTCACAATATCTCACTGAAAACAAATGTAGACCTGTTTAACTTGGCTCCTGTTTAGACTTTTAAGAGGTTTACAAGCTTTCTACAGAACAGTAGCCAGAACAGACTGAAGAGCTTCTGTTTTCCTTTTCAACCCCAGACACATACGGTAGTCTAAGATTTTTCTTCTGTTACATTAACCATGGAAACAACAGCCTAAAATAATCTGTGCAAGAAGTTCATAAAGGGGCAGATCAGAGATGTATGATTTGCAAATGTGAACATTGAATTTCTATCTCTGATTCTGTCATATCACCTGTCGTTTCACCTGAAACTCCAACTGAAGAGAAATCTCCCATGAAATTCACTGACTGCAAGATCAATGCTTCAACTATTTTTGTAATTACTTTGTTACCTCTATTCAGGTTGTGAAGCTGGATTAAACCCCACTTTCTACTACCCCTGATCAGGTTACCTAGTTTGGGTAATGAAATGTCTGTAGGTAAACAACCAAGTTCAACATCAAGGACCCCTCAACCCTGAACTACAAATATTCTTCTTTATCTTGGTGGTATATTTTTTTTAATTTACCAACTTTGTGGCATCTATTTTGTTTGTGAAATAATTATTGTCGTAACTGGGGGACATTCTGCTCCACTTTAGATGCTGCTAACAGCATGCAATTGACTTATTTTCAATTTTTATTTAAAAAATAGAAACATTATCAGCTGAACTGATAGATTCCCATCAGCAAGGAAAGAATAGCTCAGTATTTTTTTTAATGTCTTCTCATTTCTTTATTCCCCTCATTTGAGTTGCTATAGGTAATGCTCACCTGTCTCACAATAAGGGTCACCATCTTCCAAATGGAAAATATTGTTGCGAATTGGCTTGTGACAGGCCACACACACAAAGCAGGAGACATGCCAGGTTTGTTTCAAAGCATTTATTACTTCCTAGTGTAGAAACCAAAGCAAAGCAAACCAAAACACAAACAGGATTTATGCGTGAGTACTTTAATATTTGAATCAGATAGCTTTTTCTTTATATTTTTGGAATAGCATTAAAGCATAAAAACTGGAAACTGCAAGTCTTGAGCATTGATGTTATCAACTCTACAGCTTCTGTTTAACAAAATGCTAAGGACTGTAAATCTGGTAGAACAGTGGTTCTCAACCTGTGGGTCGGGACCCCATTTGGGGTCAAACGACCATTTCATGGGGGTCGCCAAACAACGCAGTCCGCCATTTTTTTCCCTTTTCCCCAGCTGTCCTACTCCCTCTTACTGGTGGCCACACCCACTTGGGGGTCACCACAACATGGGGAACTGTTTTATGGGGTCACGGCATTAGAAAGGTTGAGAACCACTGTGGTAGAAGGACCTGGATGAATTCTAGACACCTTGTGTTCTAAATATCACAAAATTCAGTGATGATATTTTAGAATTGGAAACATTTTTAAATGCTGGAAAGTCTTTCCATTTGACATTGGAAGATTCTGTTCAAAAATTATTTTTTCCCAGCTTCGGGGGATAATCATAATTCAGGATTCATTACTGTCAGCAGTTTCATTGGTTACTATTTTGAATAACTAGTTTGGATTTTCAACTGCCATTATCAAGCAAGAAACTGGCTGTTATATAAGCATACACCACTCGCCTCTCTGAACTCTACTTAAAGAGCTGATGCTAAAACTTTGGCTTTCATATCCAGTTTAGCATTTCCCAAACTACATAGCACTAGTAATAGCACTTAGACTTATACACTGTCCCACAGTATTTTACAGCACTCTCTGGGTGGTTTACAATGTAATTGTATTGCCCCCATCAATCTGGCTCCTCATTTTACTGATCGGAAGGATGGAAGGCTGAGTCAACCTTGAGCTGGTCAGGATCAAACTTCTTGCAATGTGCATATTTAGCCTGCAATACTGCATCCTATGCTATCCCGGCTCCTCTACATAATTTCACATGATAAAGTTACTCTCAAACTCAACTCCTTGTGACTCTACAGATACATCTATGCAGTTTTCCTAAGAGTAATATCACAGTAATTTTGTGATTTTCTCTTACTGGGATGTTTTTCTATTTCCCAGGCTTATCCACTGCTCTGGAATTTCTGGTGTTTTCCATTTAAATAAAAACCAGATCCAGGTTGCTTCCAATCCCAGACAACACTGGCCAGGTGCTGAGACTGGGATTAAGGTACAATGGGATAATTCTGGAATGAGAAGAACTAAAGAAAGGCAATGCACAATTTTGCAGATGAATTGTAATTTTGAAATTGAGATTAAGAAATTATTGTATTGTTCCTTAATCAATAAATACTAGTTACAGAAACAGCTGGTTTGAGGTGAGTTATCTAATCTGTAATGTTAATTACAAATTGACCTTTTACTTACTCCAAGTATCTTCCTCTGGCATCGGGCACAATCTGGGGCAAAGAACTTCTCATAGCAAACCTCGCAGTAGAGTTCTCCCTTCTCTTCCACAAAACCAATATAAGCCATGGAAGTTTTGCAATGAGCACAATTGAACTCTTCGGGGTGCCAGGATTTTCCCAATGCTACAAGGAAGGGCCCTCTATTTCAAATAAAAATAAATATTAATTTTAAACTCCATGTTTGATGAAATACAGTCAAACATCTATTTCCTATCTTCTTTCAGGAGACAGAAAACAAAATTTATTGATAATGAGAGAAGACAATTCTACTGGATTTTTTATTTTATTTTGAGGTATCAGTGGTTATATCTAATTCCATTAAAAAGCACTGATCAAAGTAAGCATTTAATGGATATTTTCATCTCCTCAAAGACAAATTCTGAAAAAAACTATGATAGCTAAAAACAATCCCAGTTTTGGAACATAAGGTACTGAAGACCTAAAAGTGATGTAAGAGATATTAGAAGTACACTATATGTTATCCAAAAGTGGAATAAATACAGGTTTCACAATGTGCTTCACTCTGGAACAGATGCTTATGCTTTAATACAATTAAACTGAAACATTTTATTTCTAAAAAATGGTTCTAGATCAAGGTAGAACTTTCTGATTCTACACGAGGTGATAAACACGTGATAGAAATTCCTTATACTCTGATGTGTTCACCGTAATGATTGAATATATTGTTTTTGTTTAGTGCCTCCAAATCAAAAACCAGAATTAAATCAACCAAAGTGAAAAGTTTCATATAAAAGAAAAAAAGAATGTACGCCATTTCGTCACTAGAACTATTTTCTGACTATATATAAGAGAGGGTAAATATTTCTCAAAATATATAAAGCAGTATTTTCCCTATGTTTGCACCTTTAAGAAATCATTTTAAAAATTGAAATAATATAGGGAATTTTTAATATAAATTATGACAGTGTATAACAGTGGTTCTCAACCTGTGGGTCGGGGGTCGCCAAACAACGCAGTCCGCCATTTTTTTCCCCTTTTCCTTAGCTGTGCTACTCCCTTTTATTCTAATGGCTTTTGAAAGCCAATAGAATAGACTCTCTTGAATAGAGTCTAATTCTATTGGCTTTCAAAAGCCAATAGGAATTGTCCAGGCTGTCTCTGCCCTGCCGAGCCCGCCAAAAGTCCCATTTTGCAAACAGTGCTGCACCAGTTGGGTAGTCCTCGACTTACGACCGGTTGAGTAGTCCTTGACTTATGACCGGTTGGGGGTCGCGGCATTAAAAAGGTTGAGAACCACTGGTTTATAAGGATTAATGAATAAACAGAAGCATATACTATTCCCCACAGCAAGGAGAAGCGGAGATAGTCAAACTGACTCTTTTATCCAAAGAAGAGAATTGCTTCTGGATTTTGTGCTTGCAATGAAAAAAAAAGGAGAGATTTTGACTTTGTTTTTGCTGATTAGATAGGTTTGTTGCTATAGAAACGGCTACTATATACTACTTTGTTAGAGTAAAAAGTTGAGGTTGTAATGTTGTTATCTTCTACTGTGCTAAAGAGAGTTGGAAGTCGGTACTTTTTTTTCTTTCCTTTAACCCAGGGGTGTCAAACTCGCAATGTCACATGACATGTCGCAACGTATCACAACTTTTTTTTCCATTGCTGGCAAAGGGGTGGGTGCGGTTTCGGCATGACGCATCTGGCCCGTGGGCTGGCAGTTTGACACCCCTGCTTTAACCTCTTTGCACCATACTTTCTTTTTTTCCTTTCCTCCTCCTAGTTGTCTATTACTTTTTAAAAATTTCCGTTTGTATTTTATATTTTGATAAACTAATAAAAATGTATTAAAAGGGAAAAAAATAAGTCATTTGAAAAATACAAACATTTGAATGTCTACAGGTAACCTTGCTGCCATGTGGCTATCTGAACAATTGGCCTAAGCTGATACCCTTTAACCTCTGTACAAGCACCTTTTAATACTGATGCTCTTTCAGCTATGTAGGGATCCAATTTAAGACCTTATGTTTAACAAACTGCTCTCTTCTCACAGCATGGGCTAATTTATGAGGCTCATTAGAAAAAACCAAGTCTGAGGAAGACTTTTGGCCCTGCTTAGGATCAAGTTTCCAATTGTCTGCACTAAAAGTACAGTCTTGGAAGAAAGCATAATAGGAACTGGGAAGGACGGCTAAGTATTTTGATACTCCCATTTAGCAAAGAATATTTAGACCTGGTCTGCTTTAGTTTTCTTCAGCCATTTGAGAATTTTCATATTTTGAAGCCTAAAGAGCAATAAAGCTCCAGTGAGTGGAAAAAGAAAATTATTACTTCCAGTATCTTATATTCTGAATGAATCAATTAACTCTGGTGCTACGATTAGCACATCTAATGCCACTGAGGAGGTAACATAGAATCTTATTCAATTTTATTATTTATACTATGCATGACTTAGTAGAAATCACATGCAGGCAAAAAAACATAATATAGTTGACAGAAAGGCATCAGTTGGATTTATATTCCAAACAGAGATGGACAGCATCAGCAGTAATCCTTTTAAATACGAAATTTATGTAAATCAGTCAACGTCCTGTTACACGAATGAAGATAATTTGGATGAAATGTGTAAATGCACAGCTGTTTTATATTCTGAGGTAGCCAACTATGACTATGTCAATGGAAAGTAAAATATTGAGTTAAATTAAGTCATTGATGTAGTCCCATAGCTGTGAAAAAATGCTTCTGTGGAGATCATTTGCTTGAACTGTTAATATTCATGCAAGACAATGAGTGAAAAGATATAGATAGAAAATTCATATTCTTTGGAAGACAGAAAGTTAGACGGGTATTTTCATACTATTAAGTAAGCACCAAGTAGCTGATATATCACCAGAGGTTGTCCTGATTTTTAAAGGTTCATGAAGGCATGATAAAAATGCAAACTTTATCTCAAGTATTTTTTCCCATCCAACATGGTTTTTTCACTTCTTGTGACAGTTAAATTGTACTTTAGTTTCTCATTTATCTTGCAGAAAATTTTTCTTTGTCAGTAATGGTAACACCATGATTACTTAGGGAGAAAAAGAATGTAAAGAAACTCATACTTTTTTTAAAAAAAAAATTCCGTTCCATGTAAGGAATACAGAAATATATTAAATACCAAGATTTTAAATTGACAACAAATTTAATTATTTTATTCAATGATATTCTGAGACTCCTCAGCTGTTGCACATTAGCAATCTATTAGAATTTTACTACAAATATTTCACAGGTATTGTACATGAGAAAAAGCAGGTACTTTAGCATGTTGATATTGCAAGATAGAATGAGGCCCTGTAATAAGACTGCAAAAAATGTGGTAACTTTTAGATGATAAACATCAATAATTAAGGATATCAATTAAAAAGTTATGAGATACCACTCTTAAATTTGGGAGACTTGCACATCATGGTTATTTTATGCATTAGTGTATAGTAACTAGGTGTACAGTGCATTTGGCTACAACACAGATGTGCTGTGGAATGTCACTTGATCCAGTTCTTATCTTTTCACAGGTAATATTGCCTGAAAGGGCATGAACTGTAATTATGCTAAAACCTCAACCCCAAAAGCTGAAGGCTATCATAAGCTTCAGATCCTGAAGTTGAAACTCAAATACTTTGGCCACCTAATAAGAAGGAAGGACTCACTGGAGAAGGGCCTAATGCTGGGAAAGATTGAGGGCAATAGAAGAAGGGGACGACAAAGAATGAGATGGCTGGATGGAGTCACTGAAGCAGTAGGTGTGAACTTAAATGGACTCCAGAAGATGGTAGAGGACAGGAAGGCCTGGAGGAACATTGTCCATGGGGTCGCGATGGGTCGGACACGACTTCGCAATTAACAACAACAACAACAAATCATAAGCTTCCCAAAGTATTGCACTGCAAGAGTAAAGAAATAACATGATATAATCTTTGTAAGAATGCCAGGTGATTCTACTATATTACCTTCTCACTTGTCTTTCCTTTTACTTTCCAAACCTGTGTGACTATCCACTTCTAACAATATGCTCATATAAGCCACAAGCTTGATATTATACCAATCAATGCAAATTCCTGGATTCTATGATTGAGACAATTATGAGAACTAGTAAAATACTCGCAGTATTTCAACTATGTAAGAACTCACATGCTTAAGCAATTTTCAGAGGACAGAAGTGGATACTTTCTCAGCTTTATGTTAAGTTCCAGATGGAAGCATGCATTAATCTTGCTGGCCATCTTGTATGAACCTAATTAATTAGCATTTATTTAGAGTTATGAATCAATGCACTCAAGATTAAACTAAGAACAGCGCTGAATAAGTTTCAATTCAATGGGTTTAAATTATTCAATATAAGTTCCTTGTAGAATAAGAAGTACAGCCCTGCATCTCACATAAAGCAACCATGTATATAGACAATGATACTAACCTGATAACTTGATTGCAATGAGCACACATTGGAGTCCGCTTGCCTGCTGGAATATGCTCTGCTCTCTGAACCAAAGTACCTTCATTAGTTTGCAGAAGTGTGGCTGTTGTTTTCTCACCAGATGTTGCATTATTGTTGGAAATCCATCCACTTCCCGCTGCCATGAATTTAAAAGGGAGAAAACCGAACATTGAGCTTGCAAGGAGAAATGCCAGCAATTCCAATGTTTTAGTACATAAATGCACAATTATTAAGCAGAAATTTCTTGATAGAAATAAATATGTGATGATTAGGTATGTGTCTAGCATTCAAATGATTTGCTTCACTCAGCAAATATAAGTGTCTTTGAATACTGAGCACATCTTTTGAAAACCTCATGCGACCCTTTTTAAAACCGTTTCTGGTTGCCTCTGCATGTGCATGAATGCCCTTTATGAACAGAGATGCTTTCAGAACTGTGCAAACCAAGTGGAAGATTCAGTGATACAAATAAACTGGGAAGTGCTTGATTCACATTGTCTCAGGTTAAAAAGATTACAATATTTAAGGGGTTGCCAAAAAGAAGGGGAGGAGGTCAACCTATTCTGCAAAGCACCTGAAAGCAGGACAAGAAGCAATGGGTGGAAACTCATCAAGGAGAGAATGTCTTGCCTCCAAAAGTGGGTGCTCCAACACTAGAGGTTTTTAAGAAGAGACTGGACAACCATTTGTCTGAAATGGTATAGGATTTCCTGCCTGAGCAGGGGGTATAATAATAATAATAATAATAATAATAATAATAATAATAATAATAATAATAATAATAATAATAATAAAAATGACAATCATGCCCTTCATCCACACAGTGACATTGACAGACTTTATCTACCAAGGCAAATAGGTGGGCGTGCAATGCTGCAAGTATATCAGATGGTTGAAGAAAAAAAAATGGCTTTGGAAGAATATCTGAAGAACAATGATGAAGATGCAGTGAAATTAGTATATCAGGAAGGCTTACTGACTACTGGAGAGACCAAACTGGCCTACAAGAAAGACCAAATGAAGAACAGAATAGAGGCATGGGAAGACAAAGCACTACATGGCCAATACGTTAAAAAAATAGCTGGGAAAGCAGATAATAACAAGACCTGGCAATGGCTAAGAGCTGGAAAATTGAAGAAAGAGACCGAGGGACTAATTCTGGCTGCACAAGACCAAGCCTTAAGGACAAATGCATATAAAGTCAAAATTGAGAAGACAGCCACAGACAGTAAGTGCCGCCTACGCAAAGAAGCTGAAGAAACAGTGGACCACCTGGTAAGCTGCTGCAAGAAGATCGCACAGACTGACTATTAGCAAAGGCATGACAAAGTAGCAACAATGGTGCATTGGAAGATCTGCAAGAAATATAATTTGCCTGTAAGCAAAAACTGGTGGGATCATAAAATAGAGAAAGTCATAGAAAATGATAAAATTAAACTGCTCTGGGACTTCAGAATTCAAACAGACAAGCACCTGCAACATAACACCCCAGACTTAACAATTGTCGATAAGAAAGACAAAAAAGTCTGGATAGTGGACGTGGCAGTGCCTGGAGACAGCAGAATAGACGAGAAAGAACTGGAGAAGATAACAAAATACAAAGACCTACAAATAGAAATAGAAAGACTGTGGCAAAAGCAAGCAAGGGTAGTACCAATAGTCATAGGCTCCTTGGGTGCAATCCCAAAACAACTGGAGCACCACTTGAACACCATTGGCATCGACAAATTTGCTATTAGTCAATTGCAAAAGGCGGCCTTACTAGGAACTGCTTCCATCCTGCGACGACATCTGTAATACCATCAAACATCCACATCTGCCTATCCCAGGCCCTGGGTAAGGACTCCATAGATAGACAAAATGCCAAATCCAGTTTGAACATCTGGCTGACTGTGCGATGATCAATAATAATAATAATAATAATAATAATAATAATAATAATAATAATAATAATAATAATAATAAAGTTGGAAGGGACCTTGGAGGTCATCTACTCCAACCTCCTGCTCAGGCAGGAAACCCTATACCATTTCGGACAAATAGCTGTCCAATCTCTTCTTAGGAGCATTCACCGCTTCTGGAGGCAGGTTGTTCCACTGATTAATTGTTCTAACTGTCAGGAAGTTTCTCCTTAGTTCTAGGTTGCTTCTCTCCTTGATTAGTTTCCATCTGTTGCTTCTTGTCCTGCCTTCAGGTGCCTTAGAAAATAGCTTGACTCCTCTTCTTTGTGGCAGCCCCTGAGATATTGGAACACTGCTATCATGTCCCCCCTCATCCTTCTCTTCGTTAAAGTAGACATACCAAATTCCAGCAACCACTCCTTATATGTTTTAGCCTCCAATCCCCTAATCATCTTTGTTGCTCTTCTCTGTACTCTTTCTAGAGTCTCGGCATCTTTTTTACCTCGTGGTGACCTCCAAGGTCCTTTCCAACTCCATTATTCTGTTGAAGCACCTCAAATCCTTTGCAGAGAGATAATGCTGAGAAACATATTTTCATGATTGTGATACAAATTGTTTCTTGACAGGAATTCCTTATTTCCTCTGAGGGTTCTCACCCATATCTGGACTTGAGACCAGACTTTTATGAATCCAGGTTATCTATATCCTCCAAGGTTGTCTGTATTTTATCATTAACATATTTTACACTTTCATTCTTGACTCTCTAGATAAATCTCTAGAATGTCACGTCCAAAGGGTACAAGTGAAATTAACCATCAGAAGAAAAAATGGAATAAGAAATTTCTAATCTAAGATTTAAACCTAAATGCTTGGAATGTAACTGAACTTTTTAAAAAGATTGTGTTTCTGAATGGAGTTTAGAGTCTAGTTCTATTGCAAAATTGTCCTTGGAACTGGACAGAGGAACTGAATTCATTGTTAATTGCAAATGGTAAGATATTTCTAGTATATTATAGCATTCTAGCAAGTCTGTATTACTTTGACTTTAAAGGCTAGCTCCCATTAAAACAATTTACCTAGAATTATCCAATTCCAATAAAGAAAGGTTTATTAAATAAACTTTACTCTATTTTCAGCTGCACAATTACATGAAGCAAATAATAAAATGTACCATTAGCAGGCAAAGAACTAATCATACTTTGCCCTTTACTAAAAGGAAATCCAAGTGGAATGAAATATCTGAAATATGCATCAAAAATAAATTCCTTCACAAAGGATCTTCACATAAGGATGGTGTGCTTTGAAAATAGTATTTCTACCCTCGGGAACATCACAGTCCATTTTTTTAAAATCCGCAGCTAAAAGGGAAATTAAAGAACAAGCAACAAAGGATTTCAACAAAAAAGCAGGGTGAAAAATCAACCATGTCTGAAATGCTGAATTATTCACAGATAAACATAATATACAAGGGGTTAATAAGTGAACATAATACCAAATATTCGAAAGTAAAGGACATCAGTAGAAGTAGAAATGCTTTGTGTGCAAAAGAAGTCCAGTGTAAACTTTCTCATCTCTACACAGAATCTGGAAAAATATCTTGTTGGAAACACTACGGAGCTACTGCTAGTCTAAAGAAATAAGGCAAAGCGAAGGTGAAGGAGTCCCTGTGAATTTTATTCTGCTAATCATCGCTGACTCTAGGGGATAGGGCTTATTTTAGTTTCAAGGCCATGAGCCGTGGTGGCACAGTGGTTAGAATGCAGCACTACAGGCTACTTTTGCTGACTCTTGGCTGCAGTTCAAATTTCACCGGCTCAAGGTTGACTCAGCCTTCCATCTTTCTGAGGCCAGTAAAATGAGGACCCAAATTGTTGGGGGCAATAATCTGACTCTATAAACCACTTAGAGGGCTGTAAAGCACCGTGAAGCGGTATATAAGTCTAAGTGCTATTGCTACCATGTTTTCCTCAAAATAAGACCTGGTCTTATTTTTTTTATTTTTTATTTTTGCCTCCAAAAGAGGCATCAGGTCTTATTTTTGGGAAGTGTCTTTTCCACAGTCTTACCTCACGGTGGCACCAACAGCCTGCCCAGCCGGCCCACTTCTTCTGCAGCCAAAGGAAATGCCTCTGCAGCTGAGAATGAAGCTCCGGCCTGCATTTCGCTATCAGAGGCCTTCCGGAAAGGCCCTTGCTGCCGAGAACCGAGCTATGGATGTAGCTTGGTTCTTGGCTGCAGAGGCCTTTCCGGAAGATCTCTTATGGTAAAATGCCAGAGCTCCATTCTCAGCTGCAGAGGCATTTCCTTTGTCTGCAGAAGAAGTGGGCCGGAGAGGCAGGTGCTGATTCATGGGAAGCCTGGCTGCAACGGTAAGCAGGTGCCAGGTCCGTGGGGCAGCTCCAATCCCCCTCACCCCTGCCCTAGGCATGCACTTCGCTCCAAAACTAGGCCCACCCCCAAAAATCAAGCTAGGACTTATTTTGGAGGTAAGTCTTTCTTTCGGGGAAACATGGTAGTGCTACTGAGCCAGCACTGTCCAAAGACATTTCCGCAATCATGTGGCCACATTATGCCACCAAGTGTTGTTAACTTGGTGGTTAAGTATTTACATTTGCATGCTTTCGACCTGCTAGGTGGGCAGGAACTGGGGTGAGGTGGGAGCTCATCCCATCATGTGGCACTCAGGTCTTGAACCTGGACTACCAGCTTTCCAGCCAACAAGCCCAGCATCTTAATCCTGAGCCACTGAGTGCCATCCAAGTCCAAAGAAATAGATAACTCTAATTACGTGTCCTAAATTCTTAAGTGTGTATTTGCTTTTCAATTTTTCTGACAGGCCTTTGCAATAAGTAGCATTAACTATATTACCATATCTGAAAAGAGGTTCAACACAAGTAGCACCTATCTTATCTACCAGACCAGTCCTTGTTTTTTGTCCTACGGCTCCTATTTTGCATCTTTAGAAATAATGCAAAAACAGATATTCTGCCATAGTATCTTGCATGCTTTTAACTCTGCCTATAGTCAAATTCATTAAAGTGTATTTATCTGTTCATGCTTTGCCAATTGTACTGAAAAGGCAGTTTAGTCACACACCTTTTCTGCCTGATTAAACTTCAAAGTCTGACAAACTGTTTAAGTTAAGAGATAAGGCTGGCACCTTCTGAAATGTTTTCAGTCCTAAAGTGACAACAATCAATGCTTCCCCCCCACTTTTCACTAAAGTGTGATAAAC